CTGAAACAGGTAGAAATTTCCATGCTGTCTTGACTGAATATTTATAGACTAGATACATCTGAAGCAAAAAGTGAATTTGTACCCAAAGAACTCTTATGGAATGGAAGAATGAATAGAAGAGATAAAGTAATGCGTGACCACATGATGTCCTAAAATCATTCTCTAAAGCTACACCAAAGGTTACCTGGGTACCCCAAAGTATTCAGTAGCTCCCAGCTCTTACAACAGTACTTCTAGGAACCCACATGAGAAAAATCAGCTGCTCAGTGGTTATCAGAGGGCAGAAGCCACAGCTGTGGTTCCAGTACCCAACACAGTGTTCATTAACACATCTTGAAAAGGTTCTGGACATTGAGTTTCTTCTTTCCACAAATTCAGTCTAGTTGACCCTCATGCAACCTTTTCTTGGCTCCATATAAAAAGCACAAAAAGCGATTGTTAAAAATATATATCTGGTGAATGAGTAGTTTCTATTCAGTACCTATGTTAGGCCCAGCAAGAGCCTAAATATAAGAAGGCATGAAGAGAACTCAGGAAACTAATCATCCATTGATGCAAAAATGCAAGAGGTTCCTCTTGACCATTGCGCAATGGAGTCACCCCTGCTGGTCAGCTAGGAGTGGCACCAGGAGACAAAGACCTTAGGTTTTTAAAAGACACAAGGCGGGAATCTCCTGGGGTTGCCTTCTTGGCAATTTAGGATTGGATGAGGTGTTTAACTTTTAAAATAATTGGTTAGTTCTGGTCACCCTTAGGTCCAGTCAGCCCTGTCGTAAATATCTGATCTTCAAGTCAGTTTGGAATTTCCTGCCATCCACAGTTAAAGATGGGAGAGTGATTAACTCATCCCATGTCTGTTCTGAGGAGTGGGGGTTACAGGCTTTGGATCAAAGGTCAGGAGAAGGATTGGGGCCATTTGGCCCAGTTTCCAAACAAAGCCCATCTCACTGGCGCCAGCTGGTGATTTTCTCTCCATTTAGTAGAGATCTCTGCTTGTCCTCTTCCTTATCTCTGCCCTCACAGATGGCTAATGTCAGGAACTTTTACATTTCTCGGCTCTCTGGAGAAGCACTAAGAGGCTTTAATTAACATGGGCCTAAAACTTGCAAATATAAGTTATAAGGCAATTAAAAGAAGCATAGGTTACAAAGTTAGTCTGATTCTTTCGCCTACAGACATCATATATAAACTGCACTATTAAAAAGATAAACAGAGGACTTTGCAGCCAGTCCTGAAGATACCTGATAAAACAGGATCAGATGAATGGGGAGGAGGTCCCCCCCATCAGTGGGCTTGGAAAGGGGCACGGTGGAGATGAGGGAAGGAGGGTGGGATTGGGAGGGAATAAGGGAGCGGGATACAGCTGGGATACAGAGTTAATAAAACTTAACTGACAAGAAAAAAAATAAAATAAAAAAAAACATAAAAGGATGCTAGGCGTGGTGGTGCATGCCTGTAATCCCAGCACTCGGGGAGACAGAGGCAGGTGGATCGCTATGAGTTTGAGGCCAGCCTGGTCTACAAAGAGAGTCCAGGACAGCCAAGGCTACAAAGAGACACTGTCTTGAAAAAGAAAAGGGGAAAAGGAATGCCATGGTGAAGAAAAGTCCTTCTGAAATGACAGAGCATGTCTCCTAAGCACACCAGCAAATCAGGAAATGTCAGAACTTTCTAACAGTAAGAAAAGAAACAAGAGTCAACATTTGGATGTCAAGTGAGTAAAAACTGTGCCAGGTTGTGTATGGCTAGACTAACCAAACCAGACAGCCCTGCTTGATCTATGGTATACAATGACTGAAGTTTGGTCCTTAGATCGTGTAAAGTAAGTGTGATAGTCTGTCTTTTGTAGAGGAGGAAACAGATTCTTCCAAGCCAACTCCAAACAGAGTGTAGGGAAAGAGATGGAGGTCTGAATTGTAAGTTTATTATACTCGAGTTTAAACTCAAAAGAAGAAATCACTAAAGTAGATTTAAAGGCACTGAACTCTCCAACTCCAGAAGTATAGAAGGAGAAACTAAATAACCATTCATGTGTAGACTGTAGGAGCCCCTCCCATGTGGAACTATTTTGATGTTCAAATTTTATAAACCTGACTAGTTTGCTAACTAGGAGTTTTTCCCAACCCTACTCCACGTCTTCCAGTGACAAGCATTTACTGACTCCAACCACCCATTCCAGGAAGGCTTCCTTCCAACCTTTCCAGTCACTCTTGGAAAATCAAAGTCTCAAAGGAAGGGGCTCATGAGTCCCTTTTGGATTGGTAATGTGACTAACAACATTTGCTAGGAGAGGGAACTGGAGAGATGGCTCAGAGGTTAAGAGCACTGGCTGCTCTTCCAGAGGTCATGACTTCAATTCCCAGCAACCACATGGTGGCTCAAACCATCTATAACAAGATCCAGTGCCCTCTTCTGCCATACAGGTGTATATGCAGACAACGTTGTATACATAATAAATAAATAAATCTTTAAAAAAAAAAAAAAAAGTTCCTAGGAGGAATGATTCACCAGGCCCTGCCTCTCCCTGAAAATTAATAGGCAGTTAATAGGCAGTTAATCATTGCTAGAAGAAGGGGGAGAGGTTCACATGCCCCCACCCCTCCGAAGATTGATAAGCAGTCAATGGAAGCTCATGAGGCCCCACACACTCTTGAGGATTTACAGGCAGTTAGTAGTTCCTAGGAGAAGGGGCTCATGGGGCTCAAAACCCATCCCTGAGGATTGATAGGCAGTTAATGGTTTGTGGGGGGCAGAGGAACATCAGTTGTGTACTCACAGGCAAATTCCTCATGTTTCTGTAAAGAATCTTCCCCCATGCTCCTGTAAGCAACCCCAATTAAACCCGATTAAACTCACTGCGTACCTAAAGATATGATATGATAAAGATATGAAGGTAGAAGGAGGGATAGTAGGAAGAGGAGGGGATCAGGGGAGTGGGCAGAGGCAGAAGAGGGTGATGAGGGATATGATCAAAATACATTATATACATGTAGGGAAATGTCATGATAAAACGCTTTATTACACTTAAGTATATGCTGATAATAAAGCTTTTATGGGGGGAACAGGCCAAGAAGTTGGAGAAAGCTCTAGAGATTCACTCAAATCCAGAGAGGTAGTGGCTAGTCCTGGCTATGTTGATTTAGAACTAGCCCAGCCTCCACATCTAAGGAACGGATGCTCCTGAAACCTAATGGCCCTACTATCTAGGAACATCCTGAGCTCAGGCACAGAACCAGAGGAGCCTCCTGCCTCCACTAGCTCTCCCCGCAATTGTAGCTAGAGCCCTACCACCTAAAACGTAATAAAAATCTCTTCTTGAGAACCTGAAGAGAGTACAGCCAGCCTCTGGAATTCAGGAGAGAGCCTTTTGTTGTGTGGTTATTTCTTCTGGCTAGTTGCCAGCGTATCTATATGGCCTTTAGGGTCAGCAATAAGCTGGGGAGAGGGAGAGCAGCGTAAATACACAAGCACACAAAAAATGCATGAAAACACAAAATCACAGAAACCTACATGGAAACACAAACACATGCAAATACAGACACACACCAACACATACATATAGATTGCTAACCTTTTCCAGCAGTAAGGGACACTGATCAAAGACACAGAGAAATCACCTCATCAGGGTACATCTGATCTCAAATCCAGGTGGAAAGCAAAGCCTCAAGATGACCTCCAAGTATTCAGGATTCAGGCTACCTGAGACATTATTTACTCTGCTGGTATGGCTCACACTTACCTCTAAGCCAGGCACAGAGGGAAGGCCAAAGATCATCAGTGAATTGGGAAGGAGAATAGTAAATTGTAAACAAAAAAAAAAAAAAACAGGAAAGGGGATGAATCAAAAGCAGAACTTAAAAGATGTATGGGTGGATAGAATAATGGATGAGATAATGTATAAAAAGAATTAATGAATAGATCAGTATGTAGATGGATGAATTAATATAAAATAAATAAATGGATGGACAAATGAATAGCAAGATGAACATGATGGAAGGCTGAATGAAGGATGAAAGGATGAATAGATAGACAGTAGATAGACAGACTCTTAGGGAGTCTATTGCTGTTATGAAACACCATAGCCATAAAAATTTTTCTTTAAAATCTTTATTATTAGCATATATTTAAACATATGAATTAATAGAAGATAGAAAAATAGATAGATAGATAGATAGATAGATAGATAGATAGATAGATAGATA